GCCAGCTACCCTCAAGATCTTGTGCTGTGAAGACTTCCTAAGGTTCAGGTTCAGGTCTTTCTGTGCCCTACCCGCAATGATGGAGGCTCAGCGGGGCAGAAGTAGCTGGTGCTTACTCTGTGTTGGACATCATTCTAATCACTTTTACATGGATTTTCTGATTTAATCCTCCCTCTCTGTGAGGTAGGTACTGTTATCATCTCCATTTTACAGATGAGGAAACTGAACCAGAGAGAACTTAAGTAACTTACACAGAATCTCATGACAAGTAAGTGGAGGTGCCAAGATTTGAACCCAGGTAGTCTGGCTCCGGAGGTGTGGTACCATGGACTACCCTCTAGAGTGACTAGAAGCCCCACCTCCTTGCTGCACATGTACAGGGGCCTGACCCATGAGCACCTAGCTTGCTTAGGCCCCTGCCAGTGAGGGTGCAAGCCCCCTCTCCCCCTGCGGTTATTGGGGTGGCTAGCTGGGCCTAGAGTAGGAGAGGTCTTGCTGGGGCCTGCTGTATCTAATTGGGGAAGGCAACAGGGGCGGGAGAATGCAGGCCTGGAAGAAGCCCAGAGAGGCCCTCTGAATCTGTGCCGGCCTCTTTCCCTTCCTCCCAGAGAGCTGACCTGTCCCCTGCCACCAGCTAATGCTCCTTACAGTGGTGAGTCTGCTTCTGTGCTGATGGAGAGGAGCTGACAGCATTTACAGCACAGGTAGTTTTAATTTTACAGCATTAAATACATTGAATCACATAGAGAGAAGGTTATTCCCTTTTCAATTCTCTTTCAGTCCTGACTACATCAAAAACAAAGTCCCAGTTTGATGACACTATGTCTTCAAAACATCTGTCATTTACTAAGCTTTAGTTTTGGTTTGGCTTTTGGGTTTGTTTTGTTTTTGTGTTTTGCAAAGGAGAGCAGGTTTCGGGCTTGGAGCCTTCCCCAGGCTATAGTTTCTTACTAGAATTTACCCTTATTTGGTCTTCCTATTTATATATTTTTATAATTTCATTCTATTTATGGCAAGTGATACTGACTTCCCATTTACAGCAGTGATATAAAGTTTCCTTTTAAAATCTATTTACATTAGTAAAAGAATGAATAGATTTAAAGAAAAAGATAAGTATTTTGATGGTAGGCAGACACTGCAGAAATCCCAAAGGCGATGAACAAGTGACTGAAGCCCAGGAAGCACTATCCAGAACTACCCCTCAGGAGGCAGTGGGCAGCCTCGCTGAGACCACGTCGCACGGCCTGCCCGTGGCTCACATCAAGGGGGAATGTGTGCTCATGGTCCCGCAATGAGTGAGCAGCAAAGGCAGGACTTGACTCCATGTCTCCATGGGGAATGAGGTCTTTGTAGGAAGGTTAAGGGAGTGGGCTTGCTTGATTGGTAATCACTGAATTACTGATGGGCCTGATGGTGGCCACTGACCTTCTCTGTGGGGATGGTCAGCCAAAGCAAATAGGACGAATATGAAGATCAGTTGCCAGAAAGACCCCAGTGAGTCAGGCAAACCCTGAGCTTCACTTGCCTTGATGTTGAAAAGTCCCCATCTCTGCCCTGGCCAGCGGCTCAGTGGGTTGGACTGTTGTCCCATACACCAAAAGGTGGCAGGTTCAATCCTGGGCACACACAGGCATGGAGGTGAGGCACCAGCAGGTGCTATAGGCAGCTAGACCCAGCCTGTGCATCCTGTAGGCCTCCAGGATTCTAGAGAGTCCAGTCCCAGTGAAACCAGGCCCTGGCCACTCCACATGGCCCAGGAGGCAGCAGGGAGCCAATGGCACGTAGCCTCCAGAAGCCAAGAAACAGCATCCTACCACACAGAATTCACCAGGTGCCAGGCACTGTATTAAGTGTCTGTTCACTGAATTGGAACAGCAGCCCTCTGAAGGAGGTATTCTCATCACCCCCAATTGAGAGACGAGGGAACTTGCTTAGAGATGCTGAGTAACTTGTCCAAAGTCACAGAGTATTTGGAATTTGAACCTCAGTCTGCCTGACTCCCAAAGCCAAGCTGTTAAGTAGCAGGGCAGTAATGGAAGCCCTGGCATGCAGGGTACATACTCCAGGGCCCTTGCTTGGCTGCTCCCTCCCACACAGGGTGCCATTGGGCGTGCCTGTGCAGCTAAGGAGACCGAAGGGTCCCTCGGAAGCCTCATTGCCAATCCCCACTCACCCTCCCCTGATGAGACCAGACTGCTCCTGGATGAATACTTGGCCTAAAACCTGGGGCTTCAAGCTCAGTATGTGGGGCTGTCAGTGCTGGTTGAAGGGGTCACTGCCATTAGGCCCACAGGGAGGTAGCCTCTTTCGGCTTCCCAGCAGGTGCACCCCACCACTCCCAGGGAGGTCAGGCCCCAGCAGGGAGCTTTTGCCCTGCTTGGGCAGAAACAGGAGCCACCAGCCCAGCTCAGCGCCGGACTCCGCCGTATTGCTGGATGCCCCTGGCACTGGGTAGATGTTCCCTCATGACCATGGGCTGGCCTGAAGGCTATTGCTTACTGCCCACAGCCCCTGAGCAGGGGTTGTAGATTTCCTAAGAGTTGACCATTGCCACATCAGAGGCTTGTGTCATGGGGTTACTCAACAAGGCCTTTCAGCTCTGTTTACTTTGAAGAGGAAGGTGGCGTCTCCCCTCCCTGGCTCCAGCGTACTTCCATGTGCCAGTCCCAAAGTGTGGGACTCCAAGGTCAGCCTCTGAGGACATGACAAGAACAACAACTTCCATGGGTCCTAGGAATGTTTGTGGGAAAGGAGAGGCTCAGACACTTTTTGGGTCTGCTGGGTCTTGGCTCCCTCGGGGCCTCCCTCTCCCCTTGTCATCATGAGCCAGAAAGGCATATCTTCAGCTTTTCCTAGACCCCTGAGCACCACACTCACCACCACCGTTCTCCTGGGCGATGGCCCAGCTGCAGAGCTAGAGAACAGGCTACCTCCATCTGACCTTCCCAGACATAAAGGCTTTCACTTGAACAATCCTGCCCAGGGCAACCTAGCACCTTAGCTGGCTGGCAAGCAGGTCTTTTCAACTCACAGAAGCTCCTGACCACACCTGCAAACAGGCCTCCCATCTGGTATCTCCCTTGTGTACTATACTAGGCAGTGGGGTGGATATTCATGAGTGTGCCCATAATACAGTTAAGAATGCTGAGTCTCAGAGTAGTTTCAAACTAAGAGGCTCCTTTTTGTGGAAAGCTGCTTTGAGCCCTAATTATCTCCCTGAGCTGGGCCCAGGAAGAGATGGAGTACCAAGCTGCTTGAGTAACCAAAGCCTCTCATGGGGCAGGCTCCTGGCTGTGTAGACAACATGGAGCGAGGGGCTCTGAGCTTCTCTGCTCCTGGCTGCTCTGCAAGCTGGGTCCCTAAACCCTAGCGCTCTAGAACCCAGTTTTCCAAATGAGAGCTGCTGAAGAGAGAAGAGCCCAGCCAGGGGAGGGCAGGAGAGGGGCAGGAAAACAGAAGGGCCTCTCAGGATCACTTGGAGAGGAAGGGGCAGGGCAGGTGGAGCAGAGAGCTCCTCCCTGCCCGCTACTGTCCCCTGCCCCTTCTGGAAGCCATGTCCTGACTCGAGCCACAGCTTTGAGGCCAAGACTGCCGCCCTCCGCAGCTCTCTCCCCAGGATGGAGTATCCAGGCTTGAGCTCAGTTAGCTCTGTCTGTGGGCTCCCTCTTCCTTATCAGAAGCCCAGGCCAGAATCTAAGCACTGAGATATCATGCTGCCTGCAGGCACCCGCTTGTTTCTCTTCTTCGGACCCACCCACTGGGTCTCCATGCCAAGCTCCCCACCTCCCTCCTGCCTCCCTCTGAATCCTTGCATGACTCACACTTTCCCTGGCCCTTCCCCATAAAGTTCAGTTCCACAGGCTGCCTGCCAGCCCCCTTTCCCCTGGAGATCCAGTCTCTTCAGTTCTGGGAAGGCAAGAACCAGAGACCAGGCTGTGGCTACTAGGACCTCAGCCCTCCTTCCAGGAGCTCCTGTGTTCTAGCCAGGATATCACCTGGAGTTGTAACACTATGCACTTTGAAAGAGGAAAGTGGCACCTCCTTGTGTAGGGCTTCTATGCTTGAGCTGAGGAAACCGAGGCCAGAAAGATGCCATAAGTTATCCCAAGACCCAGAAGGCAGTCAAGGCCAAACTGGGAAGATGTCCCACATTATCGCCAGTGCCCCACATGGGTCTCTGAGCTCAGCTTCCCTAGGATGCCAGGAATCAGCTGATCACTCAACTCTCAGCCATCACACCCTCAGGATAAGGACAAGGTGGGCGCCCACATCTGGGAGTGCACCAGCAGCCAGCAGGGCTGAAGCAGGAGTGTCACCAGAGGACAGGGCATAGGCTGAGAGTACCACACCCCCTGCACCCTGAGATTCTGGAACCCTGAGCCAGGAGGGGCTGGGAAATGCCACAAGTGTCAAAAGCCAGGGTGCCCTGGCTCACTGGCTTGGGCGTCATCCCGCAAACCAAAAGGTCGCTGGTTCGATTCTACTCAGAGCACATGCCCGGGGTGCAGGCCAGGTCTCCAGATGAGGGGGCGGGGGACATGCAAGACACAGCCAATTGATGTTTCTCTTCCTCTCTTTCTCCCTCCCTTCTCCTTTGTAGAAATAAATAAAATCATTAAAAAGGAAAAAGCCAGTGGCTTCCACTAGAACGCACTGGGGCGGTCCTCACACTGTCCACCTGCTGTTCAGCAGAAACTACTCTGACCCTGGGCTCTCGGGGCAGGGGAGGAAAGGGTTGGATAGGCAGCTGCTTGGGCAGCTGTTACAGCGCAGCGATGTGCCCACCCCGCAGCCAGGGCACTTGGCAGAGATGCTGCTGCCCCCTTCCAAGCGGTTGGTCGGTCGTAGCAGTCTCGCCGCCGCGGGGTGGGCGGCACAGCGGCACAGCGGGCTGAAGGGAGCTCCCAGGGGGCCCCATCCGGCCTGCGAACCCCACCCCCACCCCGCCCGCTGTGTTCTCCCCATGCTCTGCCCCAGTGCCCAGGATCCGTCGAACTTACCTTGGGAGGCAGCCAAGAAGAGAGCGAGGAGCACAGGTCCCCAGCGCTGGCCGCTGGCCTCTGGGACTGGGGGAAAGCCCATGTCACCTTCGGGCCAGGCACAGCGCGTCTGGGGCAGAAGCGGAGCTGTGGACTCGCAGAGGGAAGGCTTGGTAGCAGGGAGCTGACACACGCGGCAGGGTAGGAACCCTCCCAGCGCGTGAGTGAAGTGAGAAGTGCTGGAGAGCCAGCGAGTGAAAGCAACTAGCGCCGGAGAGCCGCCTGCTCACACCCCCGCCCCACAGCGCCCCCAGGAGGCCATAGGGGGCACTGCTTCCAAGGACCCGCGGGAGGGGCTTCCGCTGACTTGCCTCATAGGGGAGCCAGCCAGTGTCCCAGCCAGTCAGCTCCACCCGCTCTCCACTTTAAAGCCTTTACTACTCTCCCCATTCCTCTTTGCAGGGGATTAGTATTGTTGCACAGACTGAGAAGTATATCTATGTGTAACTTAGCATAATCGTCATGGATTGTGTCTGCTCTTACCCACCAGCCTTTGAGTTGTCTGGGGCCAGGGGCTTGTACCTTGCATCCTCCAGCCCAGCCGAAGGCCTGGTATGTGGTAGGTGCTCCCAGTTGTAGAATGAATGAATGAAAAAAATCTAACTTTGGAGCAGACTTGACTGTAGATTCCAGAGCCTGCAACGCCCTTGTGCACATGCACATCTCACACAGAGGTGACACGGGTGCCGGAGTACACGGCAGGCTCAGCACGTCCCCATGCTAGGACACACAGGGGTATGCACAACATCCGGCAGCATGTCCCGTAGAAAATCATCAGTGCCCCTTTCCCCCAGGCCCCAACTTCCCTTTCCACTCTGCCCCATCTCGCTCCCTGTGCCTGGACGTCTGTGGGGCACTTGCACACACCGCCACCTCTAGTGCCCGACTCTTGCACCCCACTCCACATGCTGGCAGCACTGGTGATGTCTCTCTCCTTTCCCCCAAATTCTCCTCACCCTTCAGGGCTCAACGCAAGTCCTTCCCCTTCACAAAGCGCTCTGAACTTCCCCCGAGGGTCCCCTCTCCAGTCTTTATACCTGCTCCCCTCTAGCTCTCACACCAGGCCTGGGGTTACCAACCAGTCGATCTCATCTGAACTCGTCAGCCCTTCTGAGCTAAACCATGAGCTTTTGGGGACGAGGGCTTCTCCTTAATGCTCCGGAGTCCCTGGCACAAAACTGGCCATGAAGAAGGTATTTAATGCACTCTTGTCTGAATAGGAAAACTGATGAATAAGTAAGTGATCTCCTAAATGGAGGGGTGGAGGCGACAGTGGCTAGGGCCAGGAATTGGAAGAGAGGGAGGGCACAGCCATTGTATCAGTTTTACCCCCACGTGGCTGAAGCTTCCAAGGAGCTTTGCTGTTCCATTAGGGATCTTGAGCTCACAGGCGACCCCCCGGCTGAAGGTCAGAGGACAGCCCAGAGTCCATCTGGGCCAGGAATCATGGTAGTGAGACTCAAGGGTAGCCAGGGATTCTGGGTGCCCTGATCCAAGTTAGAAGCTCTCTGAGAGCTCTCAGCCTTCGCTTCTGGGGCAGGAAAGTTTACAACAGAGGAAGGGTGACCCTGTTATTACTAGGTGACCCTGTGCAGGCCCAGTCCCCCTGGAGCCAGGGAATCCCCCTGGGATGGAGCCCCAGAAACTAACAAGACATAACCTCCGTCCTTGATCGTGATCCTGATCTTATGACCCCACTTCAGGAGGCAGCCCAGGGCACCTGCTGCTGGCAGAGTGTGAGCTCTTTCACCCAGAGAGGGTAGAAAACCCACTCAGACCAGGTGGGCGCTGGGCCCTCTTCCCACCCTGGCCGTGCTCTGGCCGAGGTGGGGTCCCTAAAGGGTGAGGCCCTGGAGCACCTGTGCCCCTCCACCCTCCATTTTTCCCTGGAACGGCCTTGCCCAAACCACACTTGAAACCAGACTCCTTCTGCGCCAGGGCCTAGAAGGTCGGTGAGGATAGCCTGGGATTAGGGGGAGGGTTGCCAAGCCCTTCCCCAGAGGGCTAGACCCCCTGAGCCTGCCTGTGAGGCTCTCCTTCACTTCCTTCCTCCCCACCACACTTCCCAGCAGCCGAACTTCCTGGGTTTGCAACAGGGTGAAACAGAGGCATTGCCCAAGGTGTGGGCATGGTCCAGAAGCTTCCTTCAAGCACTGTTTCCTCAATGCCAGAGCAGGAAGGGCTCAGCTGGGAGGGCCTGGCCTCAGAGAGGAGACCCCATGAGGCAGCTCCATTAGAACCTCCCACTCACAACCCCTGAAGCCTGCAAGGTTGTTAGACCCACTTCTCAGAGTCTGGGAAAAGGGGGAAATATCAGCACTGCCACCCCCATGGGTGAGGCTGGAGTCTGGCCCCTTTCTGCAAAGCGGTGCTCTTGTGTTGACAGAATGGTTTGTATTCATCGGGGTCCAGGCAGTAAAGAGATGGCACACTCAGGGCTCAGCTGAAGACAGCTTAAAGGAGGGCCTGTTTACAGAGAGCTGCTGAAGCACCCTCAGACTAGCAACTGCAGGAAGCCACTACCACTCACATATCCAACAAGGACAAGAGGAGGTGAGGCGACTGGAGCCCAGCGAGAGCTGGAGCTGTAAAAGGGGCCACCAGCGGGAGACGCAGAGCCATCGGCAGTACTGCAGTGAGGAAAGGAGGGAGTGGGGAATAAACACCCTGCCTCTCTCCCCTCCCTCCCCTCATCTTCTGCCAGAACCTCCCATTGGCCAAATCCATCTGGAAGCCAGATGGCAAGGGAGCCAGGTGAGGCAGTCCACAGGGGACATCCTCCCAGGTAGAGAAGCAGAGAATGGAGGCGAGATGGAGCAAGGGACAGAGAGTACCGGCACATGGCTAACTCCTGTCTTCCACACCTCTGCTTTGCTTGTGAAGTGCTGCCTCAACCGTTTTGCCATGGTGCTGACGGATGAGTTCCAATTGTCTAAATACTGCATGTGGTCCAAGGACCACGCATCAGCCACAAATGGCCAATTGCCAGAGAGCATGTTACAGAAGGTGTTCTTGCAGTGAAGCATGTTCTGTGAGCTTTGTTTTTCACAGCCCAACAAATTCTGCCTGTGAAATTGCCCCAAATCCAATGTCCTCCTTTAAAGTGCTGAAAAATAGGTATTTCTTGCATTTACATGAAGAATAGGTGAAGCTTAAATACTGTGTTGGGTTGAATACATCACATTCTTGCTTTCTGTAATATCAATGTAGGCCCAGGGTCAGTTAGACCCCGGCCCAAGCAAAGCTATGGGCTCCGGGTGGTTATGGGGTTCATCTCGTATGCCGATTTTAATCACTAGGTCTCTGGGCTGACAAGGATCCTGAGGTTACATCTGGCCTGAGCAGTACCGTGATTGATTAGTGATGTCTGCCATGGGCATGGATAAAGAAGTAGTGGTACAAGTTCCATCTGGGACCTATGCAGTTACCGAGGTGGCTTTTGGCGGAGCCTCTGCGACTGCCGCCTCTGTCAGCCTGTGACTTCCCTCCCTCTCATCCTTCTCCCTTTCCCTCACCATGTTGGATCACACGGAGTGAGCTCAGCCTGGAAGAATGTCCAGCTGGCTCCACCTCAGCCTCTCTAACCAGCTGACCAAGGGCCCTGACCACATTCTTCTCCACAGGCCACCACTCACGTCTACGTGACCATCGTGGATGAGAACGATAATGCACCTGTGTTCCAGCAGCCTCACTACGAGATCTTACTGGATGAGGGCCCAGACACGATCAACGCCAGCCTCGTCACCGTCCAGGCGCTAGACCTGGATGAGGGGCCCAATGGCACGGTTACCTATGCCATCATTGCTGGCAACATCATCAACACTTTCCATATTGACAGACACACGGTCAGCAGCTGATGGCGGGGTCTAGGCGGAGGGGAGCCCAGTGGCATCACGGGGGCTGGGGGCACAGCAAAGATGGAGTCTGGGAGGAAACTGTGGGGGCAGTCAGTGCGGAAGAATGGAAATCTTGGGTGGGATGGCAACAGGGCTTTCCCATCATGGACAGGATGTCAGGGCCTACCTGCTGGGGCGGTCAGAGGGTGCCCCATGAAGGAGCTGGTCCCCAGCATGGCCCAGACCCACTACCCATCGACCCACCCTTGTTCCCTCTATGTATCCCCAGGGCGTCATCAGAGCTGCCAAGGAGCTGGACTACGAGATCAGCCATGGCCGCTACACCCTGATCGTCACAGCCACAGACCAGTGCCCCATCTTGTCCCGCCGCCTCACCTCCACCACCACGGTGGGTGGGTGGGATACAGCCCCACCTTGGGGACGCAGGGAGGATGGAACCCAGAGAGCTTGAATGGGGGAGGAGGACAGGGAAATATTGTCCAGGAGAAACACCTAAATCCCAGAGCCCTGTCCTGGTCTCAACGACTCACCCAAATTTGCTGTGTGACTTTGAGGAAGTTAACGAACCTCTCTGTGTGGTTACATCAATCAGATAGATGACGACACCTGCCTCTCCTCCCATCATGGAAAGAGCACAAACTCTGATCAAACCATCAGGGGGTTCATATCCCTGACCGTTTACTTCCTAGCTGTGTGTCTCTGGGCAAGTCCCTTTGCCAACCTGAGCTTCACTTTCCCTCTCTGCGAAAGGGGATTAATCAAAACTGTTGCAGGGTATGGGAGGAGCACGTGAGACCGTGCACGATAAAATGCCCACAGTATATTCAGAGCATCATTATAAAAATACAAGTCTGCCCATAAAAAGGCTTCAGCAATAACAGCGACTCACCCACGCACAGCTTAAAAGCCCCGCCCCCCATCCATTATCTCATTTGGTTCCCGGGTCAGTCCCATGAGGCAGGGTCATTGGGTCCAGTTTCCAGATGAGGGGTCTGGGCCCAGCACGGGACTGGCTGGTGTGCAGCCCCAGCGAAGCTTGTCCACCATCCCAGGTGCTTGTGAACGTGAATGATATCAACGACAATGTGCCCACCTTCCCCCGAGACTACGAGGGGCCGTTTGATGTCACTGAGGGCCAGCCGGGGCCTAGAGTGTGGACCTTCCTGGCCCATGACCGGGACTCGGGCCCCAACGGGCAGGTGGAGTACAGCATTGTGGACGGAGACCCTCTGGGTGAGTGGGGCCTGAGTGGGGCCTGAGCGGGGCGGCGGGGGCAGCGCAGTGGGAGGGCCTCGTGGCCCCCAAATCCCGCTCGGGAGC